TGAATTGGCACGAGGGGATTTTGTGGCCACCGAACGTTGTGGCAGGGTGTCGGCCTCTCTGTGACAGTTAAACATAAGATAGAATGGGAGTGACAGGTGAGGCCCTCTCTATGCCACGTGCGAGGCGACTATGATTTGGCCCGAGGGGAGTAGTACCTCCGAGTATGAGGACGGGTGTTGGCCTCGCGGGACCACTAACCTAAGGCTAATAAAGCCAGGGGGAGATAACCACTATTGGACACCTAAAACCCTGATAGCCAGCCACGTCTAGACTAGGTGGGTTAGCGATGTGCTAGACAGGATGTACCTGGGGAAAACATGTAACAATAACGTAGGGGAAATATGAGGCAGCAACGTAAGGCAGACCGTATCTGGAGTGCCGAGTAAGCACATCAGAGATCAGGTGGTCAGGCCGTACAGAGGAAGCAAAGAAATAGGAAATAGAACGTGTATTGGTGTATGGCCCGGTGCCCGTATGGGTCAGAGCGTGGACCCAGATACAGAAAAGAAAAACACAGAACAATAAGACGTACCTTCCAGGAGGTAGAGTAGCACGAGAATTAGGATGGCAAGAACGCAGCCCAGCGAAGCAGTGTACTAAAACCTGAAAAAGAACACGGATTAGACAAAGCCATAGGGGTAAAAAGGAAACCCAAACTGAACATGAAAGAGCGAAGCAGAGAACCAGAGAAGCAAGAAAGAAAGCAGTTACTGTGGCGAAACCGGCCTCGCCACGTGTCCTTGGAGGGGGCTGCTTGCCCGCCTCTTGCCTTTGGACTATGGACCAGACCTTGTGTGAATGTGTTATACCCCAGATAGGAATCCCATGGAGCCCATTCTTATGAAACTGACTGTAAAGACTTTGGCTCCATGGCGATTAAACTGTATTTGTGTGGTCCGAGCACCATTCACTTAATAATGTGCGCTCAGACCTGAGCTATCTGGGGATATGTGAAATGTCTGTGTGTTATGTGTAAAATGTGACTTTATGTATTTTAAAGTAGTTTTGTGTCTTTTGCAACCATATGTGCATAATGGAGTCTTGTGTCTGTCCTGGGAGATAATTGAATTACTCTCAATTATCTCCAGGATAGAAGACTTTGAAACTGGTTTGGGCCGGAAAGCCATGCTTCATTTAGTCACAAAGGACTTTCCCTTAACTTTTGAAGCCCTGGTCTGATTCGAGCCATTTTTTAATATGTTGTCCCCTGAATGGATTGATTATGAAAATTTATGTTTTATGTTTGTGATGTACATGGTTTGAGCGCGGAAAGTTAAGTAGAAAGTATGTTTTAACCGTATGTAATTGAGTTTCCTCTCAGGGATAAGGGGAGGGAATATGTGGATGTAACCGTGATGTGATTGGTTGAGCTTTGTAACGCCCTGTGGGCTGTACTATGTTTGTGGATTGGGAATAAAAGAGACTGTATGTGACAGTACAGGGAGTTCCTGCTTTAACCCTCAAAGTGAAGTGTCGTCTCATTATTGGGGGAAGGATTTACTGTATGCTGTTCCAGTTTGACTGCTAGGAGAGTAAACCTATTCGTATGGTTCCTATTCAATGGTCTACAGCATTCATATGCTTGAAGGGATTCATATGCTTCTCCGGTTCGGTGGTTGTGGTGTCTGCCAGAGTGCTTGGAATCCTCAGGAAGCGCTAGGAGCATCCTTCAACGGAGGTACCCAGGCGGGGTGCCAGGCGATCCGTTACATTGGTGGCAAGCGGTGGGATGGCGTCCTAGTGCGAGGTAAAGCAGCTCAGAGACACAGTCGTTTGGATTTACAAATTGAAGGCGACACTAGTGTTTATACAGCGTCCCTGTCTACATAAAGATTTGGGAAAATGGGGTTCGTGGATCCTTGGGCACCTCGCACACCTGAGGAAGAGGGTGAATTGGACTGGAGAGATATTGCCCGGCAAGAACTATGGTACAATGCCCTGGAGGAAGTCCAGTATCAACGGCAGCAGCGCCTTCCTGGTGTCGCATACCGGTTGGAGGAACAAATGGCCTGGCGGATGCCGCTTTTGGGAGACCAACCCGGAGGGCAGCAGGTCAGACAACTTGAGTACCTCGTGGAAAGGGAACTGAGCCTTGACGCCTCATACCGGGCACTGTGGTGGTGCACTGTCCAGCCAGAGACATGGAGGGCAGAGGGCATCCAGCCCGAGGGGGAGAACTACACTAGCCCTGGCCTGTTGTGGAAGGCCTTAGCAGAAGACGTCGACTTTGGCAGTCCAGCAGAGTCACGGTACTGGGCTATTTTTTATTACCGGGGTGAGATGGTACAGGGCCCGAGATCTATTGGACTGGGACAAGACCTCCACCGTTTGGCTGCCATGGAACGACAGCTAGAGATGGACTATGTGGAACTACTAAACTCATGTCAGCCACAGGGCATAGACACAGAACAGGAAAACTGGCTGGGAGACCCAGACCTGCCAACCTACAGCTGGGAAAACGCAGCCGAGGTACCCCCTGCTTCACTACCAGCGGCAGCAGTAGGGGACCTCATAGACTGGTCCTGGGAAGACCCACAGATGGCAGGTGGAGATGGGATGGCGGTCTCTCTACCGGCCCTACAGGGATGCTGGGCGGTCGGCCCAGATCTCCAGCGGCAGTGTGTACCCCAGGGAGCAGAAGGTGCAGTCCTTCCTCCCCAGCGGCAGGGTATACCCCAGGGAGCAGAAGGTGCAGTCCTTCCTCCCCAGCGGAAGTGTGTCCTGCAGGAAGCGGAGACAGTCGGCCTCGCTCCCCAGCAGCAGGGCAATATATTAAAAGGGGAGACAGTTGGTCCCCCTCTCCAACAGCAGAGAGAGTGTCAGGGAGAGGAGCTTGTTATCCCCTCTCCCCAGCGGCTGAAAGTACGTATGGGAGAGGAGCTTGTTACCCCCCCTCCCCAGCGGCAGCGTGTACCCCAGGGAGATGAAGGTGCCGTCCTTCCTCCCCAGCGGCAGTGTGTACCCCAGGAAGCAGAGACCATCTGTCTCGCACCCCAGCCGCAGGACAAAATATTGAAAGGGGAGACAGTTGGTCCCCCTCTCCACCAGCAAAGAGAGTGTCAGAGAGAGGAGCAGGTTACCCCCTCTCCCCAGCGGCAGTCTACAGTTCAGAGAGAGGAGCTTGTTACACCCTCTCTCCAGCGGCAGCCTAACCCACCAAGGGGAGATGTTAAGCCCCACAACTATGCAGATGGGACCGTAGTCTCTGCACTTGCAGCCCCAGGGGCAGGGACGGTCGGTCCTGTCCCCCAGCCACAGAGCAGTGTATCCAGAGTGGAGACAGTCGGTCTCCCCCTCCCCCAACCAGGCTCCAACCAGGCTACTTCAGTGGTAGCGCTGGCACCCGGGCAGAGTACCGCTGGTCTCTGCCCACTCAGCAACCCACCAAGGCAGTCTACCAGCACCCCGCACAGCGGTGGTGAGGCACCTGGACATGGACAAGTTGCTATTTTATCCAGGTGTAGTAACCAGTTATTGTGGGTGGGCTGTATTGCTGTTTGTGCTTCGTGGGTGGGTTGCTGGACTAACCAGGGCACTGACCGGCAGGAGGTCAGATAACCTGTTAGTCTGGATGGTAAAGGGGAGAAATGTGGCGAAACCGGCCTCGCCACGTGTCCTTGGAGGGGGCTGCTTGCCCGCCTCTTGCCTTTGGACTATGGACCAGACCTTGTGTGAATGTGTTATACCCCAGATAGGAATCCCATGGAGCCCATTCTTATGAAACTGACTGTAAAGACTTTGGCTCCATGGCGATTAAACTGTATTTGTGTGGTCCGAGCGCCATTCACTTAATAATGTGCGCTCAGACCTGAGCTATCTGGGAATATGTGAAATGTCTGTGTGTTATGTGTAAAATGTGACTTTATGTATTTTAAAGTGTTTTGTGTCTTTTTGCAACCATGTGCTTAATGGAGTCTTGTGTCTGTCCTGGGAGATACCTAATTGAATTACTTATCTCCAGGATAGAAGAC